ATAGTTTGCCATGTGTTTTAAGCAGATTACAATCTAGAGGGAGTTTTACTTAAATATCCATGACACAATTAAAATGAATCTTGTTTCTATTATTAATAAAGCCTTAGGGTCAGATCATCAGTTTAACAAATGTGTTGAAGTTAGTGGAGATATATGTACTAATATATGTACTTAATACCATTGGGTTTTATTAAAGCACAGCAGATGGAATAATTTTATGGCTAGATTTACTTTTTTGATGTTCATAGTTCATTTAAAAATTTCTTTGAAATGGCAACAAAATCACTCTTAGTCACTGTTATTCTCACACACTATCATGGTGCTCACAAAGTGGCTCGTAGATACCCAAAGAGAATATGTGAATCAAAGTAACTTACAGTTGTCACTGAGTTACCAAAAGCTTTTTCTAATATCAGGCTTTTTTTCTCACAGATGATTAAGGGGCTGCATGCCTGGGTGCATGATTCAGCATGGTAGAAATGAGCCCAGGTTCTGCTGATGTCAGTCTGACACATGCTCTTTAGGTCTAAAGTCATACCAGGTCCTTCAGCTTAGCAGAAATCTCCCATTCCCCTCTATTTCATCCCACAAGAATATTGAGGGAGAAGAGACATAACAAACTCTGGCCAGTTTGTGATAACTCCTTTGAGCCATTCCTCTAGACCTCTCTACATCATATCCAATACTTTAGAGTTACATGAAGGACAAGGAGATAATTTCATTCATCCTTGATAAGCAGTTGGGATTATATATGGCCTAAAATATTATTAATTTATTGTACCTGACAAAGAAAAGCATCAGAGAAAAGACACGTTGGAAGGGATTAACTTTTCATAGTGTAAGCAGTAAAGATGAAAAGAAAGGAAAACTATTAGTAGTTGATTCAGCAACTTCGCTTTCTGACATACTCTGCTGTAAAGCTTGTTCTAGTAATTAAAGGACTTCGTAAAATTAAGGTATAGATTTGTAAAATTCAGGGGGCATAACAGCTTATCCAAAAGCTTATCTTTGCACCAGGCCAGAGTGGGCTGTCCAGCTGACTGAATGGCAAGTCATGTGTACCAATGCCACTCTGGCTGAAAGAGATGGGTTTTCATCCACACTGTGGCTCCGCACACACCTCATTTCAACAGATGTTCTGGAGACTATATTTGCATCTGACCCTATCTAGAGCTTAAGCATTGTGAGAACTTCAACAGAGCTCAGTAATTAGCAGTAGAAGACAGACTGCTAATGTTAAAACTATGAAAAGAATAGTTAGTTCTCCTGCACACATGACAAAGGGGAGAGGAAATCACCACTGAAGAACCTGGCAAAAGTCTGAAGTGCTTCTTTGCCTAACAAAACTGCCCCTGACACCAGCCAGGGAAAACAACTCCAAGCAATGAATCTCAAATGACAAAGAGATCTCTCAGAGCTAAGTACTGTCAGTTCCAGAATAAAAAGCACCTGTCCCAGATGCCTTTGCTACTCAAGAAAACTTTTTCTTGGGAAAAAGACAAAGAACGTCCTGCAAGGTCAGTGAACCCACATTTGGCCTCTGTCAAAGTCCACAATTATCCAGAGCAGTATGTGTATCCTTCCCATCTGCCATTCCTGACTCTACATGAAGCACCCTGTAAATATGTTTTGTATTTTGAAATGTAATTGAAAAAGCATTAGGCTTAATTCATGGCAACCTCTTAAACATAAAAGCCCTTATTTCCTCTCCGAGTCTAAGCTACAGAAAATGGATCACTCTCTTCATATATTCGTATGTTAAAGCTGCTCTGTTGCCATGAATAAGAAGAGACTGAAGGAGACGCACAGAACAATTCTATGAAAATGTTTAAAAGTCATTTAACACAGAAGAACCTCACATAGAAAAGCTACATCTCTTTAATTAGAGAACTAAAGTATTTCAGTGGAGAATGACAAAGTGTGTCCCAAAACTCTTATCAATAGTCGTCTTTCCCCACACAAATGAAGAAATATTTCATTAGGTGTGTTTCAGCAGGTGATCTAATTCCCTAAGACACATTTATTAGTGCAGGATCCACAGCATATCAAACTGATAAAATCGTGGAAGCTACAATCTTTGTCCCAAAGAGCAGTCAATGATGAATGCAAAATTTCTTGCCACAAATCACTGCCTCAAGCAAACCAAATAATAGTACTTTTAAAAAATGTTTCCCCGTAAAGAGCACTGCATAAGTAGGATGTGGTGACTTAGGCTGAATTTGACTCCCTCACTTGAGTCAACCAGCACACATGACAGAAAACTGTTCAAATACAGCTCTCTAAAGCACCCTTAGAGGATATTAAAAAATGCTCTGAGGAAGCAGGCTGCATATATTCCCCACTTCCCTCTGCCAAACCTTCACATTATTTTAACAGGCAGTTTTGACTTTGGGAAGTCTCATGTCATACCCCTGAGCCCAGAACTCACTGACATATTTTTCCTTTTTTGCACGTTTTGGCTTACACCTGTCAACACACAGTCCACAAGCAGAGAACTTAGAGGTGTTGGGTGGCCTCTGTCACCATAACCACAGATGACAATACACTTAGAAAACAAAATCAGAGCAATAAAATGTAGCTATTGGCATTTTTGCCCATTATTATAAAATCACAGTATAAATAAAGCATTGCTCTTCATAAAGGCATCTCTTACAAAAAAATAACTGTATGTAATATATTACAGAACTCCAAGGAAGAAGATAATGTGCTTCTTGGTCCCTTACAAGGGGTATGACTTTATAGGTTGTCTTCGTGTGAGTAATTTTACTGGTGCAACGATAAATATTTGGTTTATTTCTGTTTAAGTCAGCAAAAGTATACATATAAGCAAGGTTACTTACTTTTTCCAAGCCTGAACAGTGTTCTGTCATAGCCATGCTAGGTCCCGAATCTTCAGAAAACTTGTACTAAACAGAGCAGCTTTTTTTGACATTGAATGTTTAACACTTTGGTATGTTTGGAAAACTACTACAAACTGAGCAGTTGGAATTTCACAAGGCAGATTCTGCCTTGTTCTCTGCCACGAGAAGATATATTTCTAACAAACAACTCATCACTATTGTGTAACTGGAGGAAGAATGTCAAGTAACTATGTAATTAATCCAAATACAAAGGAAGTTATCCACCAAATTATAGGTTGCAGATATCCTGGCAGTTGCTGTGCCTACAAAAAGACCTTGAAGACAGGGGCTGAGAAGGCTGAATCTCCCTTAACATTTCCACACCACTTTTCAGCCAAAATACTTAATGCTAGCCCCAGTGCAGCTGGGGGAGCATTGAATTGATGGGCAAAATCTCAATGCCCTTAGGTCATAGGCAGCATTTCCTTTGCCTTCACTGTAACACTGGATTGCTTCAGAGCACGAGGGTGTCAGGATCTGACCCTGGATAACAGATTCAAGGTCATAGGATAAATCATCTGTCATTCCTGAATAAGCAGTTGACTTGACACTTCTAATGCAAGATCCTTCTCCTTCCCAAGGAAAAATCTCACTAATTAATTCCAAAAGCTGTAACAGCAATGCTGTGTCTTACTACAATTATCACGTTGCCTCTTATACTCCTCTGAAGCTATTAATAATATTTATAAAGTAGAAGTAGGAAGCCCCCTTTAATAGCACAGCCATCCCTGCTCTGGATGATGTAGGCATGTTTTTACATGCACCAAGTTCTTTTTTACTCCCCCTTCTATTTTCATTGCATAATCATGGCAAGCTTTCTCCACAGACAGCCTCCAGATCTGCAAGAATATATAGAGACCATAGCTGGTTGCCTAGCTAACACCTTCAGAATCAATGTGACAGAGAATTGCAAACATGTGTCTTTAGAATTTATTATTTTAAGAAATGCTTGATGTTCCTCAAATGTGTTTTTTTCCTAAGATCTCTGCCAGTCTCTTCCTCTTGTCTCAAGTTCAGGAGACTTAATGAACCCATTAGAAAGGAATGCCTGTATTTTGGAGGTTTTAATTGTGCCTGTGGAGGCCTTAGGCAAAGATGTTCTGTTAGTACCCACGGGTTGTGCTGGGTTTATGGAAGAGTTCCCTGCCAAGCAGGCCCCTGTGGAGCTGGTGAAGGGGACGAGAGTGCCTGGGACGTGCGGGGCCATCACAAAAAGTGAGTGCCCCCAGTTTAGAGCAAGAGCCCTCGAGCGAAAGCTTCCACAGGCATCCCAGTAAAAATACATCCCTAGATAAACCCCAGGAGCTGCTGCTCAGTTGATAGACCTGCACCCATCCTCGGTGAGGGGAAAAAAAAATTAAAGATGGGGCACATCAAGAAAACTCTTCAGCCAAGACCCCTTTTCTGCTGAACGCTCCCTCGAGCAGCTGTAGCCCTCGAGTGGAGAGCATCCCTGGGCAGGAGTGGGAGCAGGATCAGGGACAGGGGAACAGCCACAGCCAGGGCTTGTGTTTCCAGCCACCCCACCCGGGAGGCCGGGTAAGAACCAACGATAAGGCGTTTTCTTACCTGATACACCTGTGCTGCTGGGTGCACAGTAGAACCAAGGCAGGAAAAACCCAGGTGAGAAATTCCATTTTACTCCCATTTATTAGACGGTAGCAAACAAAACCCCGGCTCCCTGGCTCTCTTGGCAGCTCCAAAGCTCCAGTAGCGTTGCCATCCTTACTTGCTATGACAAGTTGAGGCTGGGTTTAAAGCAAGGTATTGTTGCTCAGCAGCAGCAGCCCCCACAATCTCGACAGTGCCCGGGAGCCCCGTCGGTAGCCGGGAACGCGGAGCCGGTAGCCGGGCAGGTCTCCGCCGCTCACCCCCTCCCGGCTCCACTGCCCGGCTCTGGCATCAGCTCTTCAGCTGCTTTCAGAACCTCTCGGCTCTTCCTCCGACCGGTTTTCCCGGGTGCGCGGCTGGGTACCGACAATAATCTCCGAAATGATTAATCCCACCGAGCGCGGGGGGAGCAAACTAGAAGTGCTCCGGGAATGTTAGGCATGTGCTGAGGGAGATGCAGCCCGAGCGAAGGGCACATGCGGTGCAGCCATGGAGCGCGGGCTGTCCGGAGAGAGGGGAATGAGGAGCGGGTCTGCCCGGCACGGGAAAGGGTGGGAAAGGGCTAAAGAGGCAGGAGCTGGAGGGTGCCGGGAGCTGCCCCCGCCCCTCCGCAAATCCCGCTGCACGGCTCCGGGGCGCCCGCAGCTGCAGCCCGGCTTCCAGCAGCTTTTCAAGGAGAGAGGGAATATAAATAGAGGGGGGAGCTCTGGTGAGGGGAAGCTGCCACCTCCTCGCTTGCTAAAAGCTGTCCCAGGCGGGCGGTACAAAAGCGGCCGAGCCAAGGTGTTACAAACTTCTGCCTCCTCGCTCAGGTTCCTGAGGGGCATCTCTCAAGGGAACCGCTCAGGTCACTTCAGCGAGCTCGGAGCTGTGAAACCGCCTTTGCCAGGCTCCATCCCGCAGCTGCTGACATCGTTACGTGCACATTTCCATCTTTTGTGCCTTGCAAACTGCCGGGACCTCAGCCCGCTCCTGAGGAAGGGGCTCAGCGCAGCAGGGGCAGCGGGGAGCCCGGCCACGAGCCTCTGCGGGACTTTGCTTTCAGCTCTACTTGCAGGTCAAACTCGATTTTCTCCTCCATATTCGCGCTTTACTTCTCTCCTCCTCCGCCTCCCCTGCTTTTTCTTATGCTGTTCAATCTAGAAATGACAATTTTAAAACCAACCCACAAAGGAAACACTGTGAAGGAGACATTTTAAAGAAATTGTATCTCAAAGCAAAAGTGAATGTGCAGGTACCTTAGTCAAATGAAAGGATGCACCTGGGGTAAAGTGTTGGGTTTCTCTTTTTTTGTGTGCTTAATTCTGTATTATTATTTACTGGCAATATTTCAAATGGGAACTGAGGAGTGGTGGGTGAGGGGATTAACAGCCCCATGGGATCCAGGAGGAGAACAACTGCACAGAGTATCTGCAGATTGGGTACAAATGTACATGATACCTACACAGACTGACATACACACACATACAAGACTGATACCTACACAGACTGACATACACACACATACATATGTCATAAACGTGTAAGAATGATGTGGTTTATTTTCTTTCTGATCTGTTCCTTCCTCTGCAGATTTCAATGGTCATGCCTGCAGCTAATGCACACTAAGGAGGAAAAGACCTAAATTTAAACTCAAGTAGTTGGATTGTTGCATGAAAACTGTTTTTTGGAGGAAGGAAACCAAAGGATTTTAGATGGAATTTTCAGGGTGATGTACAGAATGATTTTGTCTCACTGTATAAAAGAACAGTTTTACACCTTTCAGGGTATTTTCAGTTACCATTTTTTTTCATGTTTTTCCCACTCTTGAGGACTGTTCCAATGAGCTATGTTCCTACTCTGATAATTCCTTGGTATTGTTTTTCTTTGGCTTGACAGCTGTCATCTAATTTACCAGTATAAAAAATAACAGGTTTTCTATGTCTTCAGCATCTGTGATGAGCAGAAATCAGCCAAGGCCACTTATACACTTAGAGCACGTGTTTGTGTATTTTATACGTATGTAAAGAGAAATGTGTGAGTGATTTGGATGTTGGTCGACCCCTAACATTCTGTGTTTAAGTCCATCATGGCAACATACACTCTACAGGGATAGATTTGTTACAAATTTGATCATTAAAACAAGTAAAAATACAACAGCAACCCACTAAAAGAATAATTCCCAAAGAATTCTATTTCCACAACAACTGCCCTTTCAGCTCTCACTTTGATCCTATGAAAAAGTTATTTGCTTTGCTGGCTTTAACAAAATCTCATGTTGTTTTCACAGGACTGATTTAGCAACCATTTTGTGGCTGTTCTTCAGAAAAAGAGATGTTCTAAGATCCATTTCCACAAAATCCTAAAATAAATGTGTGGCTTCTCTCAAATAAATAAATTACATTTTATGCATATGGGCCTTAATTATAGCCTCTATCTTATATGGAAGAAGGACAAATGCTAGGTCATTCAGCCTTGCCTGTAGTGGATTCTCCATACAAATACATATTTAAGCAAAATAGGCTGTTTCATATATGTACACCCCCACTCAAAATGAAAAATTGCTATTAGCCAAAGGGAAGAGAGGGGATAAAATAATAATGATCTACAATATGTTTATTTTCCTGCAATTCTAGCAGAATATCCCAGACTGTTTACAGTCAATGACAGATTAAAATTGCTCAAGAGATAGATTAAAAAAAACAATTAAAATTGCTATTAAAACATCAAAACAAAATAAATAAGCTCCCCAAATCTTTCTCATCCAATCCTTTTAAAACATTTAAAGCTTTCCTTTAGCTACTGGCTTGGAACTGTCAAATATTCTCCAAAAAATGGCCCATGATACTACATTTTTCTTAAGCCTTTTTGTTACCCTACTAAATGAATGACTACCTCTCCTCAATCCCTCTGGCTGCTGGCAACAGCTTGTATGAAAAGAGTCACCCCATGGTCTGACCTCGTGTGGAGCTTGGGTAGATCATCAGAGACCTCATGGGATCCAGCCAAGCTCCCCCGTGACCAGGTTGTTATTTACATTTATTTTACAGTTGCACTGCATTACCTGATGCCTCAATAGATCATTTTCCAAGCAGGACAGGTGGTTTTACTGCCAGCAAAGTAAGGATGTCATATTGTCACATGTAATTTTTAAAGGCAAAAAACGTACCACATGGATAATTAGTTTCGCTCTCCCACGATTCCACATAAGCAGCTCGTGTAAGACTGTTGTAGCAACGTTGCCAAATGTCTCTGGATATATAAATTACACACATATGGCTATTTTTATAAATGAGATTTGGGAATATCAGCAGTAATTGCATGCTGGGATTTCAGAGGTTATACTGTGCTTGCACTGTATGAATGTCCTGTGGCCCCAGTACAAATATGTCTGCATTTAAAAGATAGCACTATGACCACAACATGAATTTTTTGCTTTCATCTAAAGTGCTGGATGTGGAATCTAGTTTTTATCTGATTCCAGATGTTCCATAGAACACCCAGTTCTTCCCGCAGTCTGCATAGATTATTTAATGAACACAAAGGGCAGTGTGACCAGACACTTTGCCCTCTTTTTCTCTTTCCAGTTTTGGGATTAGATTCTCCACTTTATCCCTGGGCCAGGGCTAGTTCCAGGACTGAAGGTGATGGCCTCCCTGGTCATTCATTCCTCTGTGGAGTGCTCTGGTAGTAAATGCCTCCTCATTCTTTCTAACTACAACTGTAGGGATGACTCATTGGTAAGATACTTATCAATATTTGGCCATTATTTGCAGTCAAATGTTGATTCATATCATAGAATAGGGGCAGAGAAGTTGTTTTATGTAATCTGATATGAACCACACTGCAAAAATTAAGATGCCATTATTGGCATGTCTTCCTGCCTAAAAGCTAGAAAGCTCCATATATGAGCTGCTGTCACCTTGGAAACGTTCAGAAAAGAAATGCCAACTGCCTGGAGAAGCACAGTATGTAACCATATAGCAAAGTGAACTGTCCAGTTCTGCTAAGGTTCAAATTGGTCGTGAGGTGCTGCTAAAGTAGCCTCTAAATTTAATTTCACAGTAAGAAAACAGCAGGATTTTAGTTTATAGATATACACTCTGCTACCCAGTTTCTCAGAGATGTATCACTTGTGGTCAGAACCTACAAAACCTAGAAAAGTAGCATCAACCAATGCCTTTTTTGTAAATCTGGAGCTTAAACTGGAATAGATTCACTGACTCTAAGTTGATAGATGTAAATTGTGGATTGGCAGATACTAACTTCTCTGGGGAGCCATAATTTAGCACCTTCAGAGGAACTGCAGATACGTTCTCTCTGGGCAATACAGTGGGAGATACAAATCCAGATTGCTTTTCCCTAGTGACCAGTGGTTCACCTGACACAAACTCCTGGCCATGGGCCAAGCAGTGGTGCAGGCAGGTGTAGCAGGCACTGTGCACTCTGCAATTAGTGCTGCTGATGGGCAGGGGGCTGTTGTAAAACTAGTAACACAATATCTGTTATTTCTGCATTAAGTTGGGTTAGCAATTTCAACTTTGTTCCAGTCCTGAGTAAATCCTATGCCAGCTTTTCCTACAAATGACAATTCAGTTTGTAATCAACTCCAAATGGTGTGTCTCTGGCTGCAGCAGTGGTTACAACCCACCATGGTTTACAGCAAAGCTGCAAATCAACTATTCTCCTTGACTTAGGTTTTTAGGACCCTTAGAGGTTAACCGCATATTTATTGTCTAGAACTACAGTTAACCTTTTTTTCTTTGTTGTTGTTATGAAAATCATCCAGACAGTTCTAAACTCTTACTGAATAAATAGCCTGAATAAAAATATCACAAGATACTGAAAATGAGTGATAATACCAGATGTTCTCTACAAGTCTTCCATTGGAGGACAGAAACATGCTTGGATCTCTTACATTCGGACTACAGGAGTGGGAGAACTGGTGGGTTTAGAGTTAACCAGAGTTATATCTATTCTAGATCTGCAGAGAGAGCTATACAGTTAATCACTGCATATTTTTAGACTACATCTTGTAGCTTTAATCCTGCAAATGTCTGTATGTAATATGAATAGATGGCATAAAATCAAGATTCCACACTCTACAGAGCTAAGAATGTCCATATATTTCTGAAGAATGAGGACCTAGAGCATAAGTGTAGGGCAATTAATTGGTCCCTGTGAGTAATATATACTCTATACTGTGGGTAGCAGTGGAAATAAATACTTAGATTAGCAGCATGTTCATGGTATCAAAAACACAGACCTCCCCATAGCAGCTATAAAAAATATATAAAAAATATTGCTTACAATTGAGGAACATTTTCAATTAAACAAACCTGAGAATTCCTTCCATCTCTGTGTACAGATGAGTGTCTATTTTGGTATAGAGCTCTGCTTACAGAATGATGTCTCAATATTTTAATAACTGAATCACTTTGAGTCCTTGAATAGCTGAATTTCTCTGGCATGTCATTTAGGCCTAGTGCCAAGAATAAGGGCTCAAGAATCTGCTTTTCTGTGCATCTAGTGGCACTGTCCCTTAACTTTGTCAAGGTAATACAGGGAATGGAATAGAAAGGAAACTCAGTTAATTACCAATTAAGAGCCATAGTCTGGTAACTGAAGGGAGCAAACAGCAGGTTCAGAAGATGCCTCTGAAGAGCAGAGCATTCCAACTGAGACACATTTTATGAATATAGACTTTTAGCTTTACTATATACATTCCTGAAATATCATCTAAGTACTTTTTCATGTTTGTGCACCCTTGTAACGATTGTTGAAGTGTTACAGGGAACCTCCAAAGCTGCAATGTCTGCTGATGCAGGAGGAAACATTCCCAATCTGCCATTACAAATGGGCAGCAGGATCAGTACACATGACTTTTGCTGTAACAACCTTTAATTAGTAACTAATGGTAACATCCTATTGTCACAACAGGGCGGGCTTATTTCTGAAAAGACATTTGAGGCAGCTTCGCTTTGGATTGAAAACTGGAAATCTTCCGTTTCCTGAACCTCATCCAACCTCAAATCTAGACAACTTCTGCATTGCAGAAAGCCACGTGAATTCACTACAGAGAGTTTTTTTCAATCATAGCGCCACCAACTCGCTTAAAACATGTGTGTGGAATAAAGAACAGGCTTGAATTTTGCTGACAGTTTCTCAGATTTCAGCGACATGGAATCCCCAGAGCTGGATGCCCAAGGACAGGTGCCACAGGTACTCACCTATTCACACCTATAGCATGGAAGAGTTAAAGCCACCATTTTGTGGTTTTTTGTTTTGTTTTGTTTTGTTTTCAAGTATCACTCATCATTTTATATATTAGAGAACCTACCAAAACCTCACCAAAAAAACCCACAACAAACCCCTGGAAAGATGCACCTAAAAATAAAATAACCATCCAGCAGCAAAAAAAAAATAAAAGACAACAAGCAAACAAAGAAAAAACCCTAAACCGACCCAAAACTGATGAAAACCCTCAGCTGGCTCAAATCTTGAAGAACTTGTCGCTCAGTTTGTCGCTCTGTGGAACTGAAAGGCGGGAACCGGGTGGGAACGAACCACTGCGGGCCCCGCCGCTCCCGGTGGTTTGCCCCGTTGCCCGTGACAACCACAGCACAGACGGCAGTTACCACAGGAAATAACTTACCCTACCCCACCTCTTCTCAGCTTTTTGGGCTGATTTAACCCTGCTCTGAGGTTTGAGTTGTGCTTCTTGGCCCCGCGGCGGGTTGGTTAGCAATGATTTGGGGCTGCTGGTTGGTTGCGTTGCTTATCAGGGGCTGGCGATGTTTTAAACGGAGGGGAGGGGTTGGGTTTTGGTTTTGAGGTGGTGGGTAGGATTGTAAAGGGCTGTTTTGTGCTTCACGTTCCGTGGGGTGTTCTCTCTGCTTCTTAATTAGAGAAAATAGCTACTTTTAGTTTATGGGTTTGGGTTCTGCAGGAGGATTTACATCAATGTGCTCAAAGCTGAGCTACCAACTTCATTAGAATTAATTACATGTACAAATCTCTGTATCTTGATGAAATCTCAGCCATTTGGAAATAACATTCTATTGGACTTACAGAATTTACTAAATTTTAAAGAAATTGTAACAACATTTGAGAACAGTGTACTTAACATGGGGGAAATGCGTAAGACACAAGAGCAAATAGTTTTGAGTTGTTGCCTAATCATTCTGGGTAAAGTGGTTGCCTAAGTGGATAAAATACATTCAGGAGGTTTGTTTTATTATTGAATTAATTGTTATTTAAAAATTGGCAGTGTCCTTTTTTCTCTGTAAGAGATTTATTAAAGCTGATACTCGAGATGTGTAACTAGTACAAAGTTGTGTGATTGTATCAAGTTACTTCATATGCATTAAGTAGGTACTGAAGCTTATTAATTCATCCCAAGATATAGTTACCACTTTTGCAAGTTCTTGGAAAATATGTGTATATATATAAACCATGTGCTCTTCTCCTTCTTAGCCTGGTTGTTTTGAAAGAACTATCAGTATGGAAGATAATGAGATTAACCATAGTGATGAAGAAGAACAAAAATCTCTTCTGCCATTTCTGGAAGAGGAAGAAAAAGGAGACGAAGCTGATGAGTTTTCTAATGTGGAAGAACACTGGGAAGGTGAAAATGATTAATTGTTTTGATAATTTACAAAACCATTGATGTGTCTTCTAATGTAGTTGATGGGAACAGTCCAGCTCTAGGGTAAAAGGATATTCCACGTAAATGCAATGATTCCAGTAGGTGTTCTCTAGCATTACACTGCACGCTCCAAATCTAACCCATTGTTACTGTAGCAGTAAATTCTCTACTCTTTACCTCTGTCAGCCCTTTTGATTCAGTTACTGATGGTAAAAGTCAAATATTTGGCTGTATGATTCAGTTGCTCATACATATATGCTACAGTAATGGCATGAAATGTCACCTCTGCTTCTCCCCATTTTGACAACAAGTATAAAAGCTTTGCATTTTACAGTTCCAACTGTTATTAAACTTTTGTTTTAATATCTGTTAGCACATGAGCCTGAAGAAGAGTTGGCTGGTGGTGACAAAAGGGAAAACGAGGACAGTTCTGAAGGAGCTGAAGACAAATCTGATTCCAGCATGTAAATAACTTGTTTTATTACCAGTTTTAACAGTAAATTTGTTGTCTTTTCAAGAGAAGGTTTGGTTAATTGAACAAACTTTACATAATCCTTCAATTTCTCATTGTTTTCATTGTTAATTGTGTATTTCATTTCTAAGGGAAAGCTTGGAACACAATTTGGATGACATTACAAATACACAGGCTATGAAGTACACAGATAGACTTCGCATATTTGCCTTACAGAGGAACATAAAAGAGCTCAATGACATAGCTAAAGAAAAGGAACTTGAGGCCCAAAAGGCCAGGTCAGTGTTTCAAGGAACATACTTGCTTGCCCCCAAACAAAAGAGTTCCATGAGAAGGAGTAAAGAACCTACCCAATATGAATGCTCTGTTTGTGTGTTGCAGAGACCAGCAGAGTAGGTGTCGGCTGCGGATCAAGAGGCTCACAAAGCAGCTGGAGTGTGTAGACATTGAAATAGAGACAGAGGAGGAGGCTGGCAATGTGTAGGTAGAGAGTGTGTCTGGTTACCAAAGACTGCAGGCATCCATTGGGTTTATCTGTGCAATTAATGAGAGAAACTTGCCTGTTTCCTCTCTTCATGTTGTTGAACAGTTGCTGGAATTCTCAAGTGCATGTATTAAAGCTGTTAACAGATCACTGATGAAAGCCCTGCCCTTCCCAGGGTGAGGTGTGACTGGAGTGGCTTGCAAGGCTGTTGTGGCACAAGGTCACTGCTCCTGTGAGCAGTGAGTTCACTGCCCTGGTGGTGAGCATGGCTGTTGTGGTCCCTTTTTTTCAGCAAGAATTCCTCCTTTTGGAACACACAGTAATGGTGCCTTGGCTTGGGGATCATTGGTCTCTGTGTTTCCTGGGCTAGAGGTAAAATTCTGTTAGGTAAATTGGTATAGAAAGAGGTGGACACTTAGGAATGGATGGGAAAGAGGCATATGTTTTAAAATATAACAACTGATTATTAAATCAGCCTTAATTATGTTTTTTGGAGTCTCAGTTACCAACCAACCCTACTGTGCTATGGCAGCTTCAGGTATTATGGTTTTGCTTCTGGTAACTACTAACAATCACCACTTTATATATATGCCTTCCCCCCCCCTCCATTTGTTTTACTTTCTGAAATGCATGAATCCCTTTCAGGAGTAGTCCTGCATCCAGGAGCTGTTCTGAAGCACTTGTGCTATAAAGTGGGAGGCAATTTACTGTGCTCTTCACATTTAGTTTAAATAGAAAGGAGTGGGTGGCTTGTGTACCAGGAACCAGTGCATTGTGAACAAACTGGAGCTGCATTGTATGACCCGTGTTAATCTTCAAATTAGTATATTGATGATTTATAGAATTATAAAGGTAGGTTAACTGCCAGAATGGAACAGCTCCTTCAACAAAAAAGGTCTGTAGCACACTGTCTATTGGTTTTCCTGGGACCAAGGAAAAGAAAAACTCTGTGGCAACACTGCCACTGGAGACAAAGAACATGGAATATTGTAAAGCCATCAGCTTGATAAATGAGTAGTCAAGTTAAGCTACTGGTCAGTGCTTTTCAAGTAACTGGTCCTCTGTACATTTCAACCAATGCATGATAGTTTAAATGGCCACTTTGAAGGTTAGGTAAGAAACTGCATAAATTAGTAGAATTCTAAACCATAAATTGCAAGCTCAAAGGTAATATTTGTTGTTGTTGTTGTTGCTGATCTTGGTGGGATGTTGTTTTTTTTCACCTTTATTCGTTCCAATTTCTTTCTGACTGTCTCTTTTTACTGTTCCCAGCCCAGCCGTGTCCCGCCTTCGGGCAATGCGCAGACGGCTGCAGGCTGAGCTGGAGAGGGAGAAGGATTTTGAGTTGAAAATTGCTTTGACACTAAAAGAAAACATGTAAGTGGGGGAATAAGGAAACTGTGATGGGAGTCAATCTTTATTACGGTTTTCATCTGCTGTTCAGTGGTCTCAAAAGTTAATCACTCCACCACAGAGCCTTACCTACTTAATATCTGTAAGTGAAGGAATGTCAGTATTTCATGAAAACAGTTCACACTTTGTTTTAAAGGCTTGAGATGTGGCACATAGAAACTGAGCAGGGAAAATGTGAAATCCTCCATGAACAAATGAAGAAAGATGAGGAGGAGCTAGAGATGCAATACCAAGAACGAGCCAAGGTGAGGATTTGGAATGAGAAAACAGCAGCACTGCAGGCAGAGAAGAAACAGCGGTCTAGAGCAAAGTAAGCACCTATAAATCAGTCTCTGCTTCCTTTCTCCACTTAATTTTTAGCCAATTCACTATTTCAGGTGTTGAGAATCATAGAATCCTAGAACTATTCAGGTGGGAAATGACCCTTGGGATCACCAAGTCCAACCATCATCCCTACTCTACAAAGTTCTCCCCTAAACCATCTCCACCAACATCACATCCAAATGACCCTTCAACACATCCAGGGATAGTGACTCCACCACCTCCCAGGGCAGCCTGTTCCAGTGTCTGACCACTCTTTCTGTGAAAAAAAATTTCCTAATGTTCAGTCTAGACCTGCCCTGTTGCAGCTTGAAGCTCTTCCCTCTTGTTCTGTTGCTAATTACCTATGAAAAGAGACCAGCACCAACCTCTCTACAATGATCTTTCAGGTAGTTGTAGAGACTGATGAGGTCTCCCCTCAGCCTCCTCTTTCTCAAACTAAACATTCCCAGCTCCTTCAAGCGTTCTTCATAAGATTGATTCTCTAGGCGCTTCACCAGCTTTGTTGCCCTAAGAAGATTAGCAAATTCAAATACCAGTGCTCTTGTGTTTCTGTGCTCTTGTGTTTCTTAGCTAAGTGTTGCTTTAGGTAAAGATTTCTGATCTATGAAAATAAGCTTGCTAGAGACAAAACCTGTGGGTGCTTTTTGTCTAAGGAAGTGAAGTTTACTAGATCAGACTAACTGCATCTGTCTGCATTGCTGTTGACTGCCAAGATGTGCTGAATTTAGCGTCAAGTTCTTCAAGAGTTCTTGGACAGAAAGAGGACACCAGTTTACCAATTTCTGTATAGGTTTTGTGAAAACAAGAGACTGTACAGGGAGGGGCTGGGTAGAAATCCTTGTGTCCTCATTTCAGCACATTAATAAGCTCCCCAGACCCATCCTTAGTTGTCACTGTGGTGGCATCAGTGTTTCCTTGGGTGTGTTGCAGCTGTTGGTTTCCCTGTGTTTTGTAGAAAAGAAGAGGAGGCCCAGAAAGAATATGAAAAAAGGCTTAAAAAAATCCGTGAAGATGCCGAAAGGAACCATGAAAAAGCACTCTGCTTCCTGAGAAAAAGCATGGCAAGGTTGCTGTTCACTCTTTTCTGTCACTGTATATTCTTTGCTGTACAATAGTTTATCCTTTAGCCTTTGACGAATAATAATTTTTCTGCTAGGTATGTCTTCTGTTACACTTGGAAATCGCTACAGTAGCAGTGCTGTGAAGGAATCAAATCTTACATGGCACCCAAGGACTTGGAAAGAGAAAAAATCCACTTACTGCCCTAGCGTGGTCTTCAGAGTCCCTGTAGCTGAAGGGACTGTCTTTTTGCTGAGTTGAAGAGGGCTCTGGCTACTTATAGGCATGAATAATTATTTTAAACATTTTATTTGTGTGTGTCATTAGCTGCAGTACTTTGAAGCAGTCTAACTGAATTCCAGGTTTGAAATGTGCACTCTGGGGTGTGGTAAAAAAGCTCTTGTGCAGCCTGGTCACCCTGGTTGAAAGGCCATTCCTTTGTGCTCCTGTTCTGCTTAATGGTAAATGAAGTAGGTTTGTGTTATACAGAATCACAAAATTGTCAAGATTGGAAATGACCTTCAAGATCATCAAATCTAACTGTGGTGATGATTTATCTTCCTACTAAAAAAAACTATGAACATTTATTACTTTTATTTGCATGCTAGAGATTAGCTGGAAAAATTATTGGTATTATTGTACTGTTTCTGTGTTGGTTTAGTTTTTAGATGGCATGTGCAAACTTCAAATAATTAAGGAAAATGAACAACCAGTTAGATAGTTGTTTTTTTTTTCCCTGAGTACTGTATCAAATACATTGATCTTACAGATTATTTTTTTTCTAGCTTACCATTATATTAGCTGGAATACTCTCAGACTTAATTCTGCCCACATTTTAGAGCTTGTACCCACATTAAAAAATAAATCCTACAAGGGGCTTATGAAAAGCTTACAACACAATTGTTTAAATCTTGGTTATATGAGCAGCACCTGAATTCTTACTTTATTTTAGCAACTTAGACATATGTCATAATGTGGAACACATTCTTCATATTCCAAATAAAAAAAAAATGTTGAGCAAACCAGTTGAAAGCCTGTTGGCACTTGGAACCTGAGTAGTGCTGTATATACAGGAGTCTTCCAACTCTTCCACGTTACCCACACCCAGTATCACAGTGAACACACAGCCTTGCAGGAAGAGTGCTGACGTTGACAATTGCCACTTGTCAGGTTAAACATTCTAATAATAAAAGCTTCCCAGGATATCAGCCTGAAATATTTTACTTTGCTTACAGAGTTCATGAAAAAAATGCAAAGGAAGAAGTGAAAACTCAGGAGCATATGGAGAGAAGGATCCAAGCTGTGCTTTCCCTGAAAAACAGCATCACTTCCAACAGGGTACTGCTGGGGTGGGGGTGGAGACCTTGGCTGTTAGACTGCTTGGGGTTTCATGAAATCAGTTCAGTTGGCTTTGCAGAATTGTCTGATCCTGTCAGATGACCAACCCAATCTTTTGAAACTGGGGAGAGTTCAACAGCAGGACTCAGGGTGTTAAATTTGTATGGGCAGAGTTTGACACCTCTACTTGTGGAATTCATTCTGTCAACAGCCATGTTGTCCTGTATGTTCTCTCTTGAAAAGAATGTACATGTTAATAAGTGTAATAAGATCTGAAAGCTCAGCCAGAACTATTTCCTGTTCTCTGGATCCCAAAGCAGAAATTATTAATATGGAGAAAACAAACGGAAGAAATCCAGTTACTTTAAGAATTTATTTAAATTCTTAACTTCTGAGCTCTGCTACTTTGCTGTTCTACTTATGCTCTGTAGAATCTGATCTTAATACTGATTTGATTAGAACTGTACCTTTTTCCATTGCTTCAGTGAGTAGCATTTCAAGGGCAGGCTGGAAGGGTAAAGAAGTAGCCCTGGCCTAGTTAGAGCTTTCTGTATCTCATTGTGCCATGCCTACTGTGTATGTTAAAAACGGTAAGTTCAGAGAAATCTACCACGAATTTATCCTTAGATAAGGGGATCAACATTAGATTATCTGTTTTATATTCTTGAAGGTGTGAATCAAACATATAACTGGTTTGTATGGCTTCACAGGAAAAACTCCAAGCTTCCCAGGCTTCGAACAAAGCAATGGCCTTGGAGGCAAAGAAGCAGGAGATGAAAAGGAGGGAAGAAATCCTGGCAGAGGGAGGCAATGTTGCCAAGGAAATGATTCTCCGTGAAAGACTGCTAGAGCATGAAAAAGAGCAACAGTAAGTGTCCATATCTCTATCAGACTCTCTGCTGCTTACTTCATGCAGCATATTGGAGCACTTCATCTGATTTTGAAAACATCTGAGGCTGGCTCCAGGCAGCGAACTCATTCCTTTCCTCTGGTGTGGGACTTAATGGCTTGAACTTGTAGTTTAGGTATTATTCAGAGAACCAAAGTTAGGAGCCCAGATTCTATGGAGAGTGCAAAGAAGACAAAACTACTCCAGAAGGAGAATTCAGTGAACCTAAACTGGATGCCTTCAGTAATTGTACTTCTGCATTTCTCAACACTGTCCCTAGAAAAACTGAGTATCTTCTTTAGGCTTTCACAGGAAGTTTCTGGAAGATTGCACTTCAAGAAGGTCAGAAGTGAGGGACTGTCCCCTGTGCTTTTTCGATTGAAATTACTCCTCTGCCTTTGTAGTAAAGATAATAGGAATGTGCCTGGATCTCATCTGCTCCAGTGCAAAGCTTAATTATTGTTTTTAACTGCTTATGAAGACAAATTTGAGCTAAGATACCAAACAGAGGGTGGATGAGGTATGTGCTACTGCATGCTGGCTCTGCTACAAAGGCAGAAACCTGTAGCAAATCTTAGAGATTTAGTAACTGAAGGTTCAATAAGTCTTAAGTTTTAGTTAAATAAAGCTTCACTCTTGATAGGTGCATAGCACCATTCCTGC